GGCTGGGTCACTGCGCCTGCAGGGTGTGCAGGCACAGCTCCTTTCCCTCGGCCCCTCCACGGAGGCGGCAGCACCCCCAGGCTCTGGCCCTCAGGCTGCCCCTCACTCAGGCCTCGGGCCACACTGGCCTGTAACAGCATCCTGCGAATCTGGCCAGTTTCTGGGCACGTCGCGTCCCTTTTCCTTCTGCTCTGGGCTGGCCGCGCGGGCCGCGTGCTCACTCCCGGAGCCCCAGGGAAGGCACTCAGAGCTCATGCCCTGAGGTGCTTGGACGAGTGCAGGGGCCTGCCCCACCGTGCCCGCTCTCACCTACAAATAGTGGACATCCTACGAGAACAGAGACTTGGCACCACTCTTCAGAGCAACGTGCTGTGCTGGCAGCAGCTTGAGGGGAATGGGGTGGGTGAGGCCCACGCCTTCATGGAGAACATGCAGGTGACCCGGGCGTGCAGGGAACAAAGCAGACGGCGTGGCAGGCACAGAGGAGGTGAGCCTGGAGCCGCAGGACGGATGGAGCAGCGGGAGGGCCCGGGGTCCCGGCAGAGACAGAAAGGGGAGGCCCAGGCAGGAGTGAGCCTGGAGGGACTGCAGGCAGCGATGGGGGTCTGGCCACGGAGGTGCTTGGAGGGGCCCAGTCACCTGTCACTGGCCGTCATCAGGCTGCAAGTGCTGCTGCGCAGGCCCCGCCTCCCAGAAAGAGCTCTGGCGGATTCTCTTCAAGTGGGGAGCCCCCAGCCTCACCCCAGGAAGGGAGGCCCTGGTGGAGGGGCCGTGCTCAGCTGTTCTCTCCATGGGGAGACCCCTAGCCAGCCTGGATGGGACAGAGCCAAGTGTCCCTGTCCACTGTCAGGCTTCCCTCCGGGACCACACGGTCCTGATGCTGGGGCTTCGTAGTCTATCCTGCAGTCCGTGTTATTTTCAGGATGGCCTGCGATAGTCCAGACCCTTTACATTTCCATATAAATTTTAGAATAAATTATCCACTTAAAAGAAAGAATCTGCTGGGATTCCGGTTTGATGTCATTGTAAACAGCATTTTTATCTTCCAATGGTTTCCTGCTCGTGTACAGAGTATAACTGATTTTTTGTGTGATAAGCTCGTAACCATCTAAATGCTCTCGTTAGTCCCAGCAGTTGTCTTGGAGACGCCACAGCATCTTTCAGGTAACAAGTCAGGTCACCTGCAAACAGAACTGTACTTCTTTCATTCTCACTGGTGCCTTTACTTCTTTGCTGCCTCATCAGGGTGCCGGGGTGCCCAGGACAGGGTTCGCAGGGGCTGGGGGAGGGGCCCCTTGTCTGTTCCCAATCTTGGGAACCTCCACCATCTCACCGTCAAGGATAACCCCGGCTACCAGTTTTCATAGACGCCTCCCAGCAGGTTGAGGAGATTCATCGATTCCTAGTTTGCTGAGATTTTTTGACGATGAATGCATCTTAAATTGTCTAAAATGTTTTTGCTACACCTATTAAGCAATCACATGGCTTCTCCTTGAGTTTATATGATGAACTGCATTGATCGATGTTTATGAATAACAGGCTAATTCGCATTTCTGTGATCATTCTTACTTGATCACGATGCTTTGTCCTTTTCATAAAGTCCTAGATTTCATTTGCTGACACACTGTTGGAGATGTTTGTGTCTGTGCTCGTGAGGGTTGCTGTGTGTAATCAACTCTTTTTTAAATGTCTCCATCTGAGCTGGGTATCAGCTCATGCTGGCCTCATAAACTGAGTCAGGAGGTGTTCCGTGCTCCTTTATTTTCTGGAAGAGCCCATATCAGATTGGTGTCCTCTCTTCCTCAGATGTGTGTTCTGATTCACTGGGGACACTCGCAGAGCCTGGCGTTTCTCTGTGACATGTTTGTGGATACTGAAGTCAGTGTTTTCACTGGAAAGAGAGTATCCAGATTTTCCAATGCTTCTCCTTTCAGTTTTGGTAGCTTGTATTTTTCTCCAGGAATTTATCCATTTCATCTCAGTTGCTAATAGCTGGCGTGCAGTTGTTTACAGCATATGCGCATCTTCTCAGTGCCTGTGGGTGGACGATGCTGGCCCCTCTTTCCTGATGCTGCCAATTTGTACTCTCTCTCTTTATCCCGATCAATCCAGCTATGAGTGTATCGCTCTGTTGACTTTTTTTTTTTTCCGGAAATCAATTTTGGCATGATAATTTTCACTATTTTTTGTTTTTTTTTTTCATTTATTTCTGTCCCTGTTTTTGTCATCTTCTTCCTCCTGGTTACTTTGAGTCTACTTTGCTCTTTTGTTTTTCTGCCCTGTTGAGGTGGAATCTTCAGTCACTGAACTTTAGACCTTTCTTTTTTTCCTCATAGAAATACTCACGGCTGAGAGTCCCTTTAAGCCCTGCATCCCAGAAATATTATACTGCATTTTTTCTTATTTTGATTAAAATATTTTCTAAATTCCCTTATGATTTCTTCTTTGATCCACGAATTATTTAGAAGTATGTCATTTCATTTTTCAGATATTTGTGGTTTTCCTAGTTAGTTTATTGCTATTAGTTTCTAATTTAATCTCACTTGGATCAGAGAATAAGCTCTGTATGATTTCGATACTTTTACACTTATCAGCACTTGTTTCATGGAGGGAGCATCACATGGAGGGAGCATCACATCTTATCAGCACTTGTTTCATGGAGGGAGCATCACATCATCTGCGATGGTAAATGGCGTGCACTTGAAAAGAATGAGTGCTATGCAATTACTGGGTGTGATGTTCTAGAAAGAGCAATTAGGGAAAAGATTAATGTTCTTGTTCAGGTCTTCTATTTCTTTACTAATTTGTTGCCTACTTGTTCTATCGATTGCTAAGAGAGGGGAATTCAGAACATCAGCTATGACTTTGGAATTGTTTGTTTCTCCCTTTAACTTTGCCCATATTTGCCTCATATGTTTTGAATCTTCCCTTTGGCTCCCACGCATTTACAGTTGAATGTCTTCCCGTGAACTCACGTTGACATCATTATGAAATGCCTCCCTTTCTCTCTTCTCTGAAAAGTTTATTTTGTCTGGTATTAATGCAGTCATGCCGGCCTTCTTGGACTCAGTTAGTGTGGATAGCTATTTCCATCCATTCATTTTCAACCTCTCTGTGTCTTTTTACTTAAAATGTTTCCTCCTATTGTAGACAGTACACAACCAGGTCTTGCTTTTTTGCTGTTGTTAATCTATTCTGATTACCTCTGGCTTTGACTTAGAATGTTTATTCCATTAAAATTTAATGGGAGTTTTGATTTGGTCTCCATTTCATTATTTGTTTTCTGTTTTTGCTTCTTTTTTCTCTTTTTTTTTCTGTCCTCCCTTTTCCTTTTTTATTTTCTTCTTTGAGTATTTTAATATTTTGTAACATTTCATTTTAATGTATCTATTAACTTTTTGCCTATTAGCTGTTCATGGTTGCTTTAGGGATTAAAATCCACAGCCTTTCCACAGTCTTTGTAGTTTGACACTTACACTATTTCATGTAAAATACATTAAAAACTTGGCAACTGCATGGGACCATCTCTCCTCCCACCCTCTTCATGCTACAGACACTATAGATAGTGCCCCTACCTATACTGTAAACTCCTCAAGGCAGTGTTAAAGTTCTTTCTTTAAACACCAATATATATTTTAAAGAAATTAGGAGGAAACAAAACCTTTTATATTTACCCAGATGTTCAGTATTTCTGATGACCTTCACTCCTCCAAGCTTCTGTCTGGTACAGCACCCCATCATCCTGAAGGAGTTTATTTGGAGTTTCTTTAACTGCAGGTCAGCGGACAACGAATGTTTTATTTTTGTTAGAATGTGTCTTTCTTTCTCCTTCGTTCTGGAGGACGTGCCCTCTGGATACAGAATTCCGGGAGGCACAGAGTCCCCAGCCGTCACCGGGTGTGACCATGTGCAGGGTCATCCACTTCCACCCATGGACCTGGAATCCGTGTCATTCCCCTCGCTGGGGACCTGGTGCCCTCCCATTGATTTGGGCATTTGTGGCATCTTGTGAATGACACCCTCTTATGGGGAATCGTCCCCGAGCTGGCCCCTTGCTCTCCCCACCAGAGGCACCACCCATCGCCATGTGTGACCACCAGCACGCCCCATGGCCAGGTGCCCGTGGCACGGGTGCTTGGCAGTCCCCAGCCCTCGCGCTCCCCAGGATACCGCTCCAACACCCTTGGATGGAGCTGTCGGCTGCGGCCCCACAGATGGGACAGTCAGCTCACGGGGGGCGGGGGGGGGGGGCAGGCAACTCCCTTCCAGACGAACCCCTGTCCTCCCAGGGAGGGGTCAAACGCCAGAACTTGGCCCCAAGCAGCTGAGAAACTGGGCTGCCAGGCAGTACACAAAGGCACGAGAAACGGCCCCTGTGAGTTTCTCACCCCGAGGTTATCAGGCCAACTGGCCTGAGCGCGCACGCCTAGTCGGCTAGTCGCTGACGCCAGCCACCTGCTGGAACAGGCATTACCTGGGCTCGGGCCGAGAGGCCCCAGCGCCGGCGGGATGAGCAGCTCCGCCTGAAGGGGGCCAGGCGGCTGACTGTAGTGTCCACCACAGCCCCGTACTGTCCCCCATGGAGCATGCAGCCCCCTCCACCCTGTCCACTGTGGTCCCCCCTCCACTCAGGGGCTTCACGTTCTCCCCGTTATTTCTGCCGCGTGAACCAGGGCACCACATGTCCCCAGACGCACGTGCTGGGCCCAGCCAAGGTCACCTCTGCACCGGTGTAGCAGCGGGGGGGGGAGGGACACATGGAGGAGACGTGGGGCGACCCAGGGGGTGGGGGAACGTGGGGAGCAACGCAGGGGGTGGGGAATGTGGGGTGCAGGGTTCGTGGGGGAGGGGGCGTAGGGGAGGCCAGGTCGGGTAGGGCGCTGGAAGCGGCTCCGCCACCAGGGTGGACAGTTGCTCGGCCAGGACGCCCGAGGAAGGCGAGGGGTCTGCCCTGGGGCTGCAGGGGGACTGGGAGCGCAGTGAGCGGCCCCTTCTCGCAGGTTCTACCTCATCAGCGGAGGGGCCCCTTTCATCATCTGCGGCATCACGGCCGCCACGAACATCGGGAACTACGGGATGGAGGACGAGGACGCCGCGTAGTGAGTACCCGGCGCCGCGGCCCTGCCCAGGAGCGCCGTCCTCCCCACACGCGGGCTTCCCCGCCTCCCATCCCCCACCCCCCGTCCCCCACTCCCGTCCCCCCGGCACCGTGGGTTGGAAGGAGGGGTGGAGGGGGGCGCCCGCGGCAACAGGGCCGCCACGCCCAGGACGGCAGAGCGTGGACCCGGCCGAGCGTAGGAGCTGAGACAGACCCCGCCCCGTCGGCGCCCCGCCCACCGGCCCCCCTCGCTCTCGGCGCCCCCGCCCTAGCTCTGCCGCCTCCAGCATCCCCCGCGGCCGGCAGGTGGGCTGGGGCCCTCGGCCTCGCTGGCCCCGGCCAGGCCACTCCCGCCGTGAGGCCACCGGTCGGCTGCACCCGGCAGTGGCTACTGTGGGCTTCTCAGGCTCCGGGGCTGCAGGGTCCCCACTGGGCTCTCCCCGAAGCCGCCCCCCCTGCCCTCCTGGGGAGGCCGGTCTGGCCCCGTCGCTCACAGGAGCCAGCGCCAGCCCCAGGTCGCAGCACAGCCCCCAGCCGACCCTCGGCGCTGGAGCCATGCCCCCACCCTCACACTCCTCCCCCGGCTGCCCCCCCAGGGCAAAGCCCCGCAGGACACGCAGGCCCTGTTCCCCCGGGGCTCACCCCTTCCTGGGCCCGGCACTGCGGCCCCACCAGGCCCGGATGAAGCTGGGAGGAAAGGCAGCTGCCCGAGAAAAGCAGCAGTGCCAGAGAGGCGGCCCGAGGCTCGGAGCCCAGGCCTGGCGGCCGCCTGCGCACCACCACCGCCGCCGGCGCCCCCAAACGCTCACCACGCTGTCTGGTGGCGGCCGGAGGGGCGGCCCCGTCCCGATTTCGTGTGTCTCCCTCTCTCACGATGGCCCTCCCGCGAGCTCAGGGAAGCGGTGGCCCCTGGGCCCACCCACTGCCCTGCCTGGTGCGACCCCTCGCTGACTTGCTTTCCTCCCACAGCTGCTGGATGGCCTGGGAGCCCAGCCTGGGCGCCTTCTACGGGCCCGCGACCTTCATCTCCCTGGTCACCTGCGTGTACTTCCTCGGCACCTACGTCCAGCTGCGGCGCCACCCAGAGCGCAGGTACGAGCTCAGGGAGCGTGCAGAGGAGTGGCAGCGGCTGGCAGGGTCAGAGGCCGGCCAGAGCCCCGGGGCCCCGCGGGCCACGCCGCCCGCCCGCGATGCCCTGCTCACCTCGCTGCTGCAGAACGAGCACTCGTTCAAGGCCCAGCTGCGGGCCGCTGCCTTCACGCTGTTCCTGTTCGTGGCCACGTGGACCTTCGGGGCGCTGGCCGTGTCCCAGGGCCACTTTCTGCACACGATCTTCAGTTGCCTGTACGGCGCCTTCTGCGTGACCCTGGGGCTCTTCGTGCTCATCCACCACTGCGCCAAGCGGGAAGATGTGTGGCACTGCTGGTGGTCCTGCTGCCCCTCCCATGGGGACGCCCACGCCGCGAAGCTCGGCACCCGCCCCGCGCTCGACGCCAACGGGGATGTGCTGAGCCACGCAGCCTGCCTGCAGGACTCACCGCGTCCCGGCAAGACGCTGGGCTTCGGCCACCCGCCAGCCGGCCACTGCAAGATGACCGACCTGCAGGCCACCCAAAGCCACGTCAGCTGCCTGTCACCAGCCACACCCTGCTGTGCCAAGATGCAGTGCGAGCAGTTGATGGAGGACGCAGCCCACGTCCACGTGCACGAGGAGGACGCCTTCGGGCATGACCCGCACCGGCACAGGTGCCTCCAGGGCAGAACTAAGCCTCACTACTTCAGCCGGCACCGGGCAGCCGCGGGCGAGCGGGAGTACGCCTACCACATCCCGTCCAGCCTGGACGGCAGCCCCCACAGCTCGCGCACGGACAGCCCCGCCAGCTCGCTCGAGGGCCCAGTGGGGCCACACTCGCTGGCCTGCTGTGCCCAGGGTGACCCCTTCCCCTTGGTCAGCCAGCCCGAGGGTGGCGACGCCAGCCCCGTGCTCTGTGGCTGTCCCCCACGGCCCGGCGGGGAGGCAGCCCACGGCCCGGCCCACTTGGAGATGCTCCAGAGGACACAGTCCCTGCCCTTTGGCGGCCCCGGCCAGAACGGGCTGGTTAAGGGTGATGCACGGGACGCTGCGCCCTTTGGCTCTGACAGCACGGGTAACATCCGCACGGGGCCCTGGAGGAACGAGACAACCGTGTAGCAGGCGGGGCTCTGTCACCTTCGCCCACACGGCCCGGACGTGCTTCAGAGCAGAGCCAGGCCCTCGGCCACGTGAGGCGGGCAGGGGGTCACCGCCTGACCCAGCCTTGGCGGCACCGCCACTGACCCCTTCGTTGGAGGACCTGAGCGGGAAGACGCTTTGGGCTACGTCGGCCTCCACGAGCCCCAAGGGCAGCCGGGAGGTCCATGTCCACAGTCACCTGCTTTCATCCCGTAGTGCCCAGTCCCCGGCAGCCCAGGGCAGAAGCCCACCCTCAGCGCCCGGCGTGTATCCCATCTGCCCCGCCACCTGCCTTGCTAGGCCTGGCCGCGGCGGGTGGCGCCCCCGATATTTCCTAGTGTTTAATGTGTGTTTTCTGTTTAGGTTTGTTCCTCGGGACCAGCAGGCAGCCTGCCTGTCAGTCCAGAGCGCTCTGGGCAGCTGCCCCAGGCCCCTCCAGTCTCAGGGGGACTCGAGTCAGCACCTCTGCCCAGTGCCGGCTCCACCTTCACCCCCGCCCCACAGGCCTCAGAGCATCACAGACGCTGGGGCAGCAGCCGTACTCTGGGAGCACAAGGGCAGCGGGACTGTCGGTGACCCTAGGCTTTCCACGGGCCAGTGGGGTCTCTGAGGGGCCTGTGCCTTTGGAAATGCCCACACACCCTTTAACGTAGACTCGACTTCCAAAACCAGGCGCTGTCAGGGCTGGGTCCCGCCCACACCGTGAACGTTTGGGAACAATAAAGTCCCCTGCCACAAAAAGAGAGGGTCTGGCATTTCCATGAACATCTGGGCACAAAGCCATGACTCAGAGGACAGATGTCGGTGACAAATATCCTTCTGTGACAGCAAGTGGCGTGTCCCATGGGAAGGGGTCCACGGGTCCCCATGGAGAAGCTGAGACACCCAAAGGGATGTGTATGTGGGCCTCTGCAGTCTTTGCTCCCTCCCTCCATCCCCTGGGGTCTGTAACACATGTGCACCCACACACACGTGCACATGTGTTGGTGCATGTACCACATACATGTGTGAACGTGCCACGTGCATGCACATGTGCACACTCCCCATATGTGCACAGTACACCATACATGCACAAGAGTGCACACATGTGCACTGCACACAGCATACATCACACATGCCACCCGTGCACACACGTCTACTGCGCACAGACATGCACACAACACGTTACGCACACACAGGATAGAGTATTTTCCAGCCGTCCGAGCGCCGAGCTCTCCTTGCCCTGTGCAGCCTCGTCACCAGGACTTGTCAGCGTCTGTGTCTTGGGCGGGGATTCCAGCAGGAGCAGATCCTTCCTCACACCCACCTGGGTTGGGGGGCTGTCCCGTGTCCCAGGCAAGATGCCCAGTGTCTGAGCACAGGAGCCCCACTTCCTGGAATTCCTGTAAACCTAACAGTGATGTTGTAACAGACCAAGGTGGCCGGTACCTGCCCCGAGCCCCATATATCCTCACGTGTCGACCAGATGGGCAACCGATGACCACTGGGTGGCTCCTGTCTCCACCGCCGACCAGCCTGCTTGCCCGCTCCTGCGGCTGACAGGACCAGCACCCTGGGGCTGTGCTGGGCACATGCTGCAGGCGCAGAACCGTCGACGAAGTACAGTGTTGTCCTTGTTGGCACTTTGGGAGGCTGCTTCACAGCATCTGCAAGCATATCTCTCCCTATAGGGGGGCAGGCCCACCATGGTGCCCGGGGCTGGGAGAGGCCGGGGAGCCACAAGGCTGCCCTTTCCGGCCCCTCCAGAGGGCGTCCCCCATCCTTCCTGCCCCGGTGCCCCTGACAGACCAGAGAGAGCAGCTCATCATTCAGACCAAAGAGATTCGACCTTAAATATTAAACATCGTGTGTTTCAATATTGGTTCAGCCTCCTGAGTCCACTTGGAGACAGGGTTGTGACACCTTCCGTTTGCAGGTAATGTTTTCCAGGAATAAAAATCCACGGCACGACCGCATCTGGGAGCGCCCCACGCGGACGATGCCTCCAAAAGGATGCAGGGCAGGAAGTCACAGCCACAGCCCATCGTCTGAGGTCTAACGCTGTGTGTCACCCCTTCCTTTGTGCTATGTATGTGCATACACGCGCGGTGTGTGTGTATGTGAGAGTGTGCTTCCTGCGTGTGTGTGTGGGAGTGTGCGTGAGTGTGCCCGTGTGCTGAGTGCATTCTGTGTTCAAGTTGGTTTGTGCACATGTGTGAGTGTGTGCATGTCACACAGTCTGTCACGTGTGTGTGCATTGTGAGTGCACGTGCAAGGGTGGGACTGTGCTATGTTGAGTTGGGTGGGTGGGTGCCTGTGTGAGTGAGTGTGCATGCGTGTGTGTAGTGTGAGAGCACGTGTATAAAGATGAGTGTGAGAGCACATGATAGTGAGCATGTGCTGGTGTGTGTGTGTGAAAGCGTGCACGCGTGAGTGTGCATGCATGTGTGTGTGCTTACGTGTGTGTGTGTGTTGTGTTTGGATCACGTGGCTGCGTGGAGGTGTGAGTGTGGGGATGAGTGTGGGTGTGTGAGCATGTGGGTGCCTGAGTTGTACGTGTGAGCGCAGGAGGAGCACACGTGTGTGTGCATGCGTGTACATGCCCTTCACAGAGAGCCCCCTGGAGCTGTGGGCTCCTGTCTGACTACCAGGGTGCAGACCTGGTGGCCTCACAGGGTCGCTGTGACAGCCTCAGTCAGCCCGGAGGACTCGGGGGACTTGGCAGCCCTCTCCTGAGTGGTCCAGCCGGGGACGCGTTACAGTCCCTCCTGAGCGCTGGTGTGGCGTCATCTGCTGGGGACCTGGAAAGCGCTCGCCCGCGGGTCCGGCCAGCACTGCTGTCTGCAGGGAGCGTTGGTGGTCAGTTAAGGGCACCTCCACCGACGCCCTCCCCGATTTCTCCAAGAAGCCCCTTGAGCCACCTCTGAACAAGCCACCCCTGGGAGCCCCTCCGGGTCTGTGGCGTTGCCTCAGCTGGGTCTGCAGGAAGGGGCTGGACCAGGACTGGGGGGGGCACCCACTCTGTCTCTCGTCCTGCTGGCCCACTGGGCTCTTTAAGACGCAGACAGTCGAGGAGAGCCTTGGGGCCCAGGAGCGGCCTCTGGGGGGTGGGGTCACAGGGCATGAATCGCGGCTGCAAAGGCAGCTGTCCAGGGGCTGGCGCGTCGTGCTGGGCCTCCTGGGGGGCTGGGGTGGCGGCAGCAGTGTTCGCCGCTTTGGGAGGCCTGTCCTCTGCCAGGCTGGGGACATTGGCAGGAGCGGCTCGCTCTCAGCTCCTGGGGCCCTGGGCAGGGGCGCAGCCAGCCACGCGAACGGCCACACGCAGACATGGTGGCTGCAGTAGGGCCGCATCTGCCCTACGGGCACCCAGGTTGCCCCTGTAGTCCTGCCACCCGCCCCGAGACCCGCGGTGTTGCCAGGTGGGGAGGGGGGACTGGCAGGCCTCAGGCATTGGTGTCACCAGCAGCTGCACACAGGCTGGCCGGCCAAGGTTGGCCTGCGTCCAGGGCAGCAGGTGTGCATGTTCTGCTCCGAGGATGGCCGCCAGCCCCGCCCTGGTCTGCACACCCCGGGCTCGTCTCTGAGCCGAGGCTTCAGCGGCAGCTTTTACTACACGATTGATCATCTACATATTGATCATTGATTTATGCCCCTCGGGGGGAGGGGGCACCTCTGGTCCTGACAGAGGCCAGCTCTGCATCCCCCGAGAAGGTGGGACAGAGGGACAGGGTAAGAGCCCTGTGAGGACACAGGGAGCAGTGCTGCGGCAGCCACGCCAGCTGCAGGGTGGAGGGCGTGGCCCTGGTGGGCGCGGCCCTGGTGGGCGCCTGGGGAGGCCAGTGGGGGAGGGGAGCAAAAAGGCCACGTTGGAAGGTCTCGAGGACCAAATCGGAGAGCTTCGGCCATTCAGGAGGGAAGGCGCGGCAGGAAGGGTCGCACGGGAGACCCCTTGGCATGAGTGAGAAGGGCTCCCCCAGACGTGACCCAGGGCCCTGTGCAGCCACTTCTGGGAGGTGGGCATCCTCCTCACGGCAGGCGGCTCAGCCTGCAGGTGTGGGGCTGGTGGCAGGACGGCTCCGCGGGCCCCACTCCGGTGGGCTGGGAGGGAGGGGTTGTTGGTTAGGGCCGGAGTGCACGTGGCCAAGTCTGATGGCCCACCGGCCACCTGCCTGGGCCTCCCATGAGCCGCGGAGCCAGCGCCCTGAGCATAGACTTGCCACCCAAGGGACAGTCCTCCAGGGACACTGGACAGCAGATCCAAAGGCGCTGGCCTGGCATCGGAGGTGGACCAGAAACCCTGGCGCCCAGGAGGGAGGGTGTCTGGGAGGCATGGGGGGCAGGGCTCTCTGGATCCCCCCACCGGGTCACGGCTCCACCGTCCTCTCCGCTGCCCTCACATCCAGCCTCCTGGGCACCACACGCCAGCGGCCTCGGCTCTGCTGTGTCCTGCTCGGAGGCCCAGGCGGGCACTGGCCACGGACGGCCTCTCCCTCGCCCAGGGGGACCCAGGCCCTCCCGCCGCCCTGGGTGGATGCACTGAGAGTGACACTGGTTTATATCCACTCTCTGTGCACAGACATCAAGCCTTCCCTGTCCCTGGCAGCAGGTTACTTCTCACACACACAGCTCTGGCAACACCCCCGGGTGGCCCCTTTCAGGGACAACCCGGCAACTCAGACGCGTGTGACCGGGGTCCTGGAGCGCAGGTCCCTCCCACGAGCCGGTGTCCGTGGCCTGGTCCCAGGGTCGAGTCTCAGTCACTCAGATCCAGGAGAACTGTGTCTGTGTTGAGGCAAGTCTGGGGCCGAGGACAGACGATCCGCATCTCTTACAAAAGCCCGTGAGACTGAAACGCCGTCTCTGGGGTGCACGGACCTGCGTGGCGCCGCTGGCCACCAGGAAGGCCTCACCCGCCCCGAGGGCGGAGAGGGGGCCGCAGGGCTGAGCTCGGGGCCGGGGGAGCAGGTGGGCGGCACAGGACGGACATGGTGGGAGCAAGGGGTTGGGGCCGCAGTAGATGCAAGAAATAAGATTCGGGAAGGAGGTCCCAGGTCATGGGGCCGATTGGACGTGGAGTTGGGGTCTCAGGTGGGAGACCAGGGCGTGTGGTCAGTCAGGGCGGGGCAGGCACAGGCCTCAGCGGTGCTCCGGCGGAGAAACCGGGGGGCAGAACAGCCCAGGAGTCAGGGGCTCAGCAGCCCCGGGACGGTGGGTGGGGTCCCTGCACAGGCCACAGCCTCAGAGCGCAGGGGAGGCCACAGACACACACAGGTACACGGGTGCACTCGGGCGCACACACAAGCTCTGCTCAGGGACGTGCCCGGATAAGCACACGCATGACAACACACACACAGGAGTGCAAGGAAGCACATGAGAGATATGCTGGCCTGTGTACACACACACGTGCACACTCAGGCTTCTTTCACCCCAGCCCTCTCCCGGCAGAAGCAGGTCCTGTTACCCACCCGGGTTCTTGGCCTTCCCCAATCAATTGAAACTGATCAGAGGCCAGACAAGAAATTCAGGCAGGGCTGTACTGGGGCCCCTGCTGCGGCGGGGGAGTGAAAACAAACAACAGGCTCCTTGCTTGCTGGCTCCCTGGCAGGGCA